TCTATCTATCTATCTATCTATCTATCTATCTATCTATCTATCTATCTATTTATCTATTTATTTTGATGTGTCAATCACTTACAAGATAATAGGTATCAGTATATATGTAGTTATGAATACATGAAATGGGTACGTATAAGAAAAATAAAAGAAACAATAGTACAGGGACGGTAGGCACGTTGGTGCGCTTATGCACGTCCCCTACAGACCTCTTAGGAAAGGGGTGAGGTCAATAGTAGACAGTCTAAGGTTAAAGTTTTTTGGGGTTTGGGGAAGAAGCCACAGAGTCAGGTAGAGTATTCCAGACATTGACCATTCTGTTGCTGAAGTTGTATTTCCTGCAATCGAGTTTGGTGCCCTCCAGTATTGCAGGATATGAATGCTAGGAGTTTATAAACATCGCAAGAGCTTCAGGTTGGATAAGATGTTGCTGTTGCTAGTGCTGAAATGGAAGGCTACTTGTATTCACTAAAACAGCATTTCTTGATAATTTGAAGGTTTGGCTGATACTGGGAGTTGGAGTCCACACATTGTGAAGCAGCCAAGATTGAGAAACATTGTGCTGGAGCAGGGGTCTTCAAACTTGACAGCTTTAAGACCGATGGACTTCAACTTCCAGAATTCCTTCTCGTCATGTTAGCTTGGGAATTCTGGGAGTTGAAGTCCACAAGTGTTAAACTTGCCAAGTTTGAAGACCCTTGCACTAGAGTGAACAGCTATGGGGTGAACAGCTAAGCATGCAAACAGAATTTGTGGGGAAGAGAGAAGAAAGAGAGGGTTGGCAGTTGGACAGAATAAAAACAGGGAAAGGACAAAGCATAGATTAAACCACATGGCTGGTTTATGCACAGGAATTAGGTGCCACAAGTGAAAGCGATGGAATGAGAAAGAAGGTGGACCCACCGTTCCATTTTTTTTGTGGTAGTAGCTGAGAACTGGGAATCGCCTCCCCTGACGAAATCGAGCACTCTTCTGAAGGGCTTCATCATCCAGTCTCGCTGGTACGATCACAAATGGAGGATAACTGGGACAAACCCCAAAGTCTGCATTGATAGAACTCAGCCTCCAGGCCCCCGTCTGGGAAGAGTAAAGAATGAAGGTATTTGAAGAGACTCCACCCTGAGACATTGGTCTGCCATGGCCGTGGCCAGCTCATTGTTGGCTTGAACCACCTGCCGGTGCCGGTGCCACCAGCCTGCTAGCCCAAACTTTGTTGTGGATGATGCCACTACTTGTCAGATCCGTGTATCTGTCATTTCTTCGATGGAAGAAGAAAAGGGGGCGGGGGAGACTGATAAAGAAATCCTTTCTTGATGTAACCTGAATATATTTAATCTTATATCGAATTTGTATAACCTACACTTGATACAATGGAGGGAGAAAACCCAGATGGCTGGAACCTATCACCTCTGGGAGAGACAGCCAGGAGATGAGAGGACCATAAAAATTCTACAGTGAGATATGCCCTGGGAAACTCTGAAAAAGATGGTTCCTTACAAAAGGAGGTGAGGGGAATTAACATACTGGCTTTTGTTTCACTAAATACACATTGAGATAAGGGGAGGGGTTCTAAACTCCCTTATCTATCCCTGTATGACTGAGAGATTTTAGACGCTGCTTTGAACTCCTACATGAATTGTCTCATCTCAATAAAAGATTCCTTTTGATACGTTTGGTTTTCAGAAGTTTATTCTTGTTAATTGAATGGGAAAAAGTTCTGTAGCCTGACACCACTCTTGTTAGGGGCAAGCCCACACTGTGTCTCTGCATTGTAATGAGCTCTAGGAGGAGGGGATCCCATCTCCCCCATTGTGAAGCACGCTAAATTTCACTGTGCTGCACAGGCCACTTCAGCCATGAGGCGACAACAGCGACGGCAGGCAGTTCAGGCTAGCAATGAGGAGGTGGCAGCCACAGCACACCGTTCGGGCTAGCAAGGCGGAGGCCGCAGCAGGCAATTCAGGCCAGCAAGCTGGCGGCAGCAGGCCAGTGTCTTGGGACGGGGAGCAGGTTGCTCTGTGAGTGACCAAGTCATGCCCAGCTGCACCAACAAAGCCGGAAGTAGCTGCGGGAGGCGAGGGCTGCCTTGAGCGCAAATGTACCACAATGAAGGCAGAATGCAAAGGCTCACCAGGCAGGGAGTTGGGCTACATGGGAGGCAGTGGAGAACGGTGAAGGAAGGCTCACCAGGCAGGCAGGGAGCTGTGCCTTGTGGCCCAGCCAAGGCAAAGGCAGGCAAGCGGGCTGGGCCATGGGGGCTGTGTGGTCGAGTCAAGCCAGCTCGCGAGTGAGGGAGCCAGAGAGCAGCAGCAGCTATGCCATGGGCATGACTCTAGGCACCGGCCAAGGCGGGCAAGGTGAGATAAAGAGTGAGTGGGACTCCTGGAAGGGGAGGGGCGAGGCCAGCCAATGGTGGGATTAGCCAGTTCTCTAAACTACGCAAAAAGTTAACAATTGGTTCACCTGAACCGGTGCAATCTCGTTGAATCCCACCTGCGCTACTACAGCCATACAGCATGGGTAAATACACTTAGATATAAGACAGTTCGGTGAAAATGAAGTGTTCAACAAAGTGATGGCACAAGGGGAAAAAACTGTCCCTGTGTCTAGTTGTTTTGGCATGGAATGCTCTTTAGCACCGTCCCAAGGGGAGGAGTTGAATCAGTTTATGTCTAGGATGGGAGGGATTTGTAGATACTTCCTCAGCCCTTCTTACTGGGCAATTACTGAGCAATCTGAATCAGAGAGGTTAATGTTTGTTAATTCCAGCAGCAAAACGAATCTGTTAAAATATAACGGAAGAGAAATTTCTTCAGAAGTTCAGAAGTCAGGTGGCGCCTTTTCTGACTTACACATTTTCTTAAAAGGCATCAGCTTTTTAAAGTGCTACCCGGTTTTTTTTGTTTTTGTTTTGCCATCGTAGATAAACGTGGCTTTTAATGTTTCATATTTCTCACATGTTCCCACTTCCTGGGTTGTTGATATCAATGGACAACACAGATACATACAATACCAGAGGGAAATAATTGCATTGATTTTAAAACCCAGCTTTGATATTGGGAAACAAAGTGGTGAGTTGGAAAAATTGGATGGAAGCAGGGATGCAGTACAGACTTCTGATCAACCAATAGATGATGAGGATGAAATTTTGTCATACAGATAGTCCTCAAGTTATGACCATAATGGATCCTGCCCCATGTACCATGTAACTCATGATGGTTATAAAACAGAACTGTCTGTCACAACCCAATTTTATGACCTTTCTTGTGGCAGTTGTTAAGTGAATCTGTGACCATTAAGAGAATACTGTAGTTATTAAACAAACTATGGGTGTGGTTTTGCCAAAAACTGGAAGTAAACACCAGTTTTCAGCAAAATCGTTGTAAAACCTGGTCATGTGGTTGCAGGATGCTAGAAATGGCTTTAAGTGTGGCCCAGTTGCTCAGTGCCTGAAGTATCATGTGACCACAAGGGGCAGCAACTTCAAATCCAGATCGTAAGTAACCACCCAAGTCAGTGGTGGGATTCAATTTTTTTTTTACTACCAGTTCTGTGGGCGTGGCTTGGTGGGCGCAGCAGGGGAAGGATACTGTAAAATCTCCATTCCCTCCCCCACCCCACTAACCTGCTTTCCAGCTCTGTTCTCCTGTGCAGGGCAACCAAAGAAGACCCAGCCAATCAGCTAGGACTCGGGAGGCAGAGAAGAGATGGGGGCGGGGCCAGTCAGAGACGGTATTTGCCAGTTCCCCAAACTACTCAAAATTTCTGCTACTGGTTCTCCAGAACTGGTCAGAACCTGCTGAATAGCACCTCTGACCCAAGTAGATCCATTGGAACGTCAAACAGTTTCTAAGGTCTACCTGTATTCCATGCTAGGAGATAATTTTCATCTATTAGATGTAACTTAGTGGCAATATTTACAATTGCAACATTTGCTAACACCATTGTTTGGGCCAGCATCATTTTCAACTTCTGATACAGCAGAGATAGTAGAACAACTTGTTAAATCCTTAAAAATTGAAAAAAATAAAATAAAATTAGTTTTAATAGATATTTGTCATCAATAATGTGAAAAGTCCTTGACACCAGGCCACAAAATACTCTGGTCCAGCTATTGGTTCTACCAGCCTGGTTTCCCTTGTGCACAACCCATGCTCAGAGAGGGACCTTTGCTTTTCATGAAGATCACCAGCCTCTCTACTGTCATGCCCCGGTCAGAGTCTGAATCTGAGGAGGAAGACAAACAGCTGGCTCCGTTGGCTGTGGAGGAGGCTGTGGAAGGGCAAAGTCTGGCTGGGCAGAGCAGGGAAGAGATAGAACAAGGGAGAGAGAGTTCAGAGGAAGACCCAGGCCCACCCCCTCTTCATCCTAGGGCACGCAGAGAAGAGAGCAACGTGGGTTACATGGCTTATGGGGGAGGAAAGGGCCCTGATTTCCTTCATTAGCCACAGCTGGGAAGAGAGTTTATAAGAGAGGCAGGCTGCGTGCGGCAGGCTGATGGGAACAAACATGACTTTATCTTGTGCTGTCATTGCTTATCTGTGTTCATGGCATCTTCCCAACCATGTGAGTTTTGCCGTGCCTTCAAGTTTGAAATTCTTGCTCCTGCCCTGCCAAACTTATTACTTCAGTTTGGCTTGTTTGGACTTTAAGTTACAGTTTGTGTTGACCATGTTTTGGACTTAATTTTCTGCAGTTAAAGGCTGTTCCTGGGAGAGTTTTTCTCCAGCCAGAAGATAACCTGGACATTGGGGGCAAAGTTGGAGATAATAAAGGGACTCTTATTGATTATTTGACTATGTTGCCTTTGTGTCAAGCCCCGGGTCATCACATCTACTCACGTCAGTTGCAATCTGCTTGTAATACTGTTCAGTAATGTGCGTCAGCCACCCAGTGCCCAGCGTTGTGTTTTGGGGTCTGTAGAAGAAGGGGTAGGTCATCATCACCGATTCCAGAGAAGAAAGGGCCTGTGGGAACATGGTTGGCCTGCGATGGTTAACAACAGGTGCACATGACTTTCTCTATCCTGAAGTATCTCTTAGTCAAGCTTAAGGCTTTTTAAGATGTATGGACTTCAACTCCCCAAATACCCTAGCCAGCATTGCTGCTCTTGATCCTTAACAGCCCAGACTCTCATTTTGTCTACAGGAAGTCTTCAACTTAGCAACCATTAGCATTTAGCAACAATTCAAAGTTACAACGGCACCGAGAAATGTGAGATACAACAGTCATTCCATTCGTATCCATCATAAAATCTCCGTAGTTACAATATCAACATTTGGATGCTTGGAAACCAGCATGTATTTACAAGGGTCGCAGAGCCCCAGAGTCCCATGATTGCCACTTATGACCTTCCCACCAAGCTTCCGACAAGCGCAGTCAGCGGGGGAAGCCAGAATCATTTAACAACCACCTGCTTCACTTAACAATGGCCAAAAATCATCATCATCATCATCATCATCATAAAATCAGGTTTAACTCACTTCACCACCATCTTGCTTAGCCTCAGCAATAGAAATTCTGGTCCCAATTGTGGTTGTAAGTCAAGGACCACCTGCATGAAAGTCCATCTGGGAAAAGGCAACCCACTTGGGTTTCATCAGTCTTTCTGTGCCATCTAATATTTAACTGGTATTAAAGAGCTGGAAATGTTACCCCTGGCCAGATGTGAGATGCTTCTGGGGGGGTAGAGTGAGTATGGGCAGAAGACAATACCTACAATGGGGTACATAGCACAGGACTTAGTTCTTTAAGGGGCCGCTTCCCACCAATTACATCGACCTATCTCCTCAGGTCCAGCAAGAGAGGCATCTCCCAGGTCCCCTCAGCCAAGGAACGTCATCTGGTGAGACCCACGAAGGGAGCTTTTTCTGCCCACCTGGTGGGACATAATCCTTCAGAGATGTTCCACATCCTCCATAGCCCTGGCCCAGCTGGCTTTGGCAACAGGAAGGAGCACCCGGGGCGTGTGATGGAGCTGGTGCAGTGCTGCCCTGATTGCATGGATCAATGGGGATTACCTCGGCTGTGAGTTAAAATGCTTTACGATGAGTTTTTTAATATATTTTTTATATTAGAATGGCTCTTTTTGGTTGTTCTAATATTGGTTTTAATCGGCAGTGTGAACATAGCACCAACCTGCAAGTCTTTAAACCAAGCAGATCTCTTCTCGGCATCTCCAAGCACCTTTTACCAGAAACTGGGGGTTTCTGGGGCTCATCCTGCACATGAGGGCCTGAAGCCAGTTTCATCACCCACAAGGAACTGGGGGAAACAGCTAAGCCTTCCCAAGAACTCCATGCAACAGTTGAGGCTGGGTTAGCCAAACTGCCCAGCATCGCAAGACTTCTGTGCCACCCGTCAGCTTCTTACTTCTCTTGCAATCCTCCCTCTTCTTCCCTATGCAAGATGAACCAACAGGAAATGGATGTGGGGCGGGGGGGGGGGGGGGGGAGGACTTCCCTGTTATGATTGCAAAGAAGGGGGTTGAGCAGCAAGAGCCAAGGCCCTGGGAATGCTTTCTCTCCTCCTCCTTCCTCCTTTACTCCTCCCTTCTTTATCCCTAAAGCTGAAACCTTTGGAAGCATCTGGGCTGAGCCGAGTTTGGGCATATGCGTTTAACCAGGGGAGGGAGCTGCTGGGTACAGAATCGTTTTTATGTCTGCTTATAACTGCTTCTCACAATTGCAGAACGATACAGTTTTTGTTTTTGTTTTGTTTTAAATAGAAAATGTATGTCATGATTCATCCTGGTTGAAGCATTGGCCGACTAAAATCTGATTGGGGATTTTGTGGCTGAGGATAGTGTAGGTGGCAACCAGGGGACCTTGGTCCGAAACCTCCCCCCCCCCCTTGCAATTAATCAGGGGAGGCCCTCTGCACATGTTTAGTGACTCTTCCTCTTCCGGTGGTCTGGTAGCAAAATCAGGATAAGCTCTCCTCACCTCAATGGAGTTGGCAATGTTCAGGCACTCCTCCATTCCCGGGATTTCCAACCGCAGAATTTTCAGGTCTTTGCATTTGAGAGTGATGGTGCCAGATGGGTTGGCCAACCTGTGTGTAAACAAGGAGAAAACGCACCTTGTGAGCTGCCTTGCAGGAGGCCTCAGGCAACTTCCGGCAGTTTGCAAGCAGAAAGAACCTCATGTTTGTGGCAAGGGAGGAGGGGCACCAACGCTGGAGACCTTAACTTCACAGCCACCCCAGCCATAATCTGAAAGTTGGGCTTGCAGATGAGCAGGAAGTGAGCAACCCGTTAACCCAGGAAGAGAGAAGCAGAGGGCAGCAAAGCTGTGATGGCCTCCCACAGTATCAAGTGCATCATACAACTGATGCTGGTTACATTTCTCACATCACTGCCAGCTCACTTGCCTTCCCTTATTCTCTCTTATCATCACCCTACAGGTAGTCCTAGACTTACAACCACGATTGGCACTGGAAGTACTGTTGCTAAGCAAGATGGTTATTAAGTGAGTCAGGACCAATTTTACAACTTTTTTTTGCCATGGTCATTAAGCAAAGCACTGCAGTTATTAAGGGAATCTGGCTTTTCACTACTGCTTGTCAGAAACCAGCTGGGAACGTTGCACATGAACCCTGCCAGGATGCTGCAGCTGTTGTAAATGCACACCAGTTGTCAAACTCCTAAATCTGGATCACGGACCATGGGGATGTTGGGATGGTTGTAAGAGTGATGACTGCTCTAAGTCACTTTTTTCAGTGTCTGTTAGGGCTCTGGCAGTTAACCCCCATTTAAATCATGAGTCTTGAGCCAAACTTCAAAAACTTCCAAATGATTTATTAGGAGTAAACATGCCGGCACTGCCTGGGTGTAGCCGACTCTGAGACACATTATTCATTGCCACCCTTGACCCTGATTTTCCTTCCTACCTCCTGGGTGTATTGTAATTCATATTCTCCAATGCGACACATCCATAGCCAAGAGTCATCCATCTAACTCTCCAGTTAGAATTTTGCATGGCAGAAACTTCAAGTCACCTAGAAACTATCTTTGAAAACATTTATGGAATGCAAGCCACCCACTGCTCCCTCTCCCTTTCTGTTGGCAGCTCTAAAAGGACCATAGAAATATTTTATGGGTTGACAGTGTCATTGTAACTTTAAACGGTCTTTAAATGAATGGTTGTAAGTCAAGGACTACGTGTATTGCTGTGCATGCTTTTTCCATCCAGATAAAATAAATCTGGAATAACCACCATGGGTGGTTCTTGCAAACTACTATATAGCAGGGGGGATTCAAAAATCCCAGCAACCAGTTCACTGCCCGGTTGCTGAGTGGGCAGGACCATGGTGGGCGAGGCCTACCAGAACTTCCTGTTTCTGGCTTCCGGCGGCCTCCAGAGCTGGGAGAGGCTGTTTTCACCCTCCCAAGGGTCCAGCTCTCTGGGAGGGTGAAAACAACCTTCCCTGGCCTCTGGAGGCCCACCAGAAATAGGCCCGTTTACAGACTTCCTGGCCTGTTCCCCCACTCCCCAGGGCTTCCGCCTGGACCCTGCACTTACCTCCATCAAAAATGGGTCATGGGGTGGGAGGGGCAGGGCCAGCCTGTTGGTTGAAATACTGGTTCGGTGAACCAGCTGTAACTTTAACATCCAGTTCGCCTGAACCGGTCCGAACCGGTAGAAAGCCATCTCTGCTGTACAGGCCTTAATACCAGGCAAGAATGGCTTTGAGAACTGTCCAGAATTTTTGGCAACCATCTATGGACAATGTTTGGTGACCTTCTGGTCTTCCAAGGGGCAGCTTCCCCCTCTGGTGACATCTCTGGAAGGATGAGGAGATATTTATTTTCCATATTTTCCAAGCTTTTTAGGTCAGAGAAAGTGGGAGGCTATGGGAAGCCTAATGGTCTTGACCCCACCTTAAACCTTCCTCAAACCATCCTAAATCTCACTACTCTTTGAAGCTACAGATAGCCCTCAATTTAGCGCCTGTTCCAAGTTACGGTACTGACAAATTACAATTGTTGCAGCATGCCCGTGGTCATGCGATCAAACTTTGGTTGCTTGGCAATCAGCCTGTATTTATAACACAATACCCCGCTGCTTAGGGAAAGGAGGTGCAAGGCCGAAAGGGTCAGCATTCTGTGCATGCTTAAAAATATGCTCTCAGTTCCTATAATAGCAAAATCTGGGCTATATCTGGCAAGAAGTTGGATTTCTGATTATGGTGCCCGTTGCCAGTTCTCTCTACCCACTCCATCAAATTGTCCTGGCCTCGCTATCCAGCAGGTAGAAAAAAGGACATCAGGGTGGCTAAAAGATCATTTTTTCACCTGTCTGGGCAACACTTTCTTTCCTGAAGCAAGACCTGGAAAGGTGGGTTTCCCCCTCCCTGGTTGTGCAAATCAGCTGTGGAAGCCAAAAGCAGATGACGCGCCAGCCTGTCACCTCACTTGCTCGCATGGCTTGCGGTGTGAAAATGGTTAAGGCAAACCTGTTCTCTGGCGGGGAGCCGTTAGTCCAGGAGCTTTGATACCAGCTTAAATTCTGCATGCTGAGAGTCACAGGAAGGAAAGGAGAAAGGTTAACATTGTGCCCGAAATGCAGAGGTTGATGGGCACTGAGGTGGAGAGCACCTGCTGCCAACTTCAGTGCCCTCCCTCTTCCAGCTGGCTCTTCACTCCGCCACTCTGGAGGACATGGGCCACCCCAATTTTGCCTGAGCAATGTTCTCTTGGGGGCCTGTAATCCCAAGAAGGCGTGAGATTCCTGGTTTCTTTTGGTCTCTTCTGCAGCCCCCCCCACCCCCCTCAGTGAACATTCTGAGCAAGTGATGCGTCTTCCCAAGTCTTGCAGGAAAATGTCACCTCTTAAGCCCATATTTGGCTGCTTTTGAAGAGCTGAGGAGCAAAAGGGTGCAAGATGGAGCTTCAGCAGAGAACAAAGCTACTCCGTTAGCAGTTAGAGTAGGAAAAGCACATCGTTTCACCCCACCCCCTCCACCTGACCCCCCAGCCCAAGCCAGCAAAGGCAGGATATTTGGCCTCCTTTGCCTGATCTTTGCATCTGATCTCCCCATCCTTGAGTGTGAAGGAACCTGAAAGAACCCTGGAGAGCGTATGGTAATGTTTGGGTAGGCAAATCTCCTTCATTTGGGTCTGGGTAGTCCACCCAAGTAGTTTAGTTTAGATTGTAAATGAGAGAGTTTAAAACTGCAATGGCATATTAGTTAGGTTCCTTCTGCAAAGCAGCAATCCAGGATTCTTTTAATTGTCCAAGATGAACCAATGAAACCTGATAGTGCAGTTTAAGCTCTTTTAGACTACATTTGCCTACATTAGACCAGTAGTTCTCAACCTTGGCAACTTTAGCGTGTATGGACTTCAACTCCAGAATTCTGCAGTGAATTCATGCTACTGAGGAATTCTGGGAGGTGAAGTCCACAAACTGGGGGGTGGAGATGAACCACGATGAGAAGTCCAGCAATGGAAGGCAAAGCAATTCACCTTTTTTCAATGGCATCCACATTGCGAATAAGAAGCCACAGCTCAGTTCTTCTCTGTTCCCCATTCCCTTCGGCCTGGGATGAAAACAGTAAGTGATGGCTGGTGATGGCCAGTGTCCCCCGGATGGTCTGGAGTCCTGGGCATGAGAGAACCACATCATCCACCTTGGTGGTCTTGATCAGCTCAGCAAACTCCATGGTGGGAGGTGGCAGAGCGTCCTGGAAGCGTGACGGTAAAGGAGGAAGCTATTTCAGGAGAACCTGGAAGATTAGGAAGAAAGCTGACAAAGGCAATTTCAGAAAGTACAGGGAAAGGGCTTTTTGGTCCTTCAAGATAGGGTTGTGTCGGTTTAGGACCACAATTGGGATGGGAACTTCGGTTGCTAAGTAATCATCCCAATTGTTAAACAAATCACACAGGTGTTTAAATCACACAGGTGTTTAAAAAATGAATGATTGTAGGTTCAGGACTACCAAATTATTATGTCTGTAAAGGAAGGAATAATATAGTCAGAGAGATGTACCTGGTAAAGGGATGCCTATATTTTCCAGGTCAGGAATGAATAGAGGGTAATGCTTAAAACTAAGGCTTGTGAGATGGGTTGGGCTGAGAGACAGTGAGTCCTGCCTAAAGCAGAACTAGAACTCACACACTAGAACTGGTGACTGGCTTTCATGACCGATAGCTTTCATGCCTACGGTGGGAATAGAACTCATAATCTCCTGGAAGTTGCCTCAAAGCCCCCACCAGTTGACTTTCATGCCTAAAATGGGAGTAGAAATTACAATCTTCTGGCTTCTAGGCCAGCGCAATTATTAGAATAAACTGGCTTATTTGCATTGCATTGCATTACCCTTTCTCTGCCCAGAATTCTCCATTCTGGAAGCCCACAAACCCAGGGGGGCTTCCCTTCTCCATCCCCGCTCCAGTCCTTCTCAAGCAGCAGAGACAGCAAGAGATGTCTTAACTCTCTCCGGTTTCTGGGTAGCATCCGTGGCAGTTGCCAACTGACCAGGACAGAGACAGTTAAGCCTGCTCTTGTGCCTTTTAACAAGCACTTTAATTGATAACGGATAGGAGATTTTTTGAACTGAATAGCAAGGAAGGGACAAGCCTCGCCATAAACAGCATAGCTCTCTGTGGTTAAAAGTTGCTCTTATAAGACCTGGTTGAAAAATTGGCAACTCAAATGAAGCATTCTGTTAATTTTGGGGTGGACCTCAAGTGCCTGCCAGATTTGCAAAACTGAGCTGCATTCTGTTTATAATAACCCCACGTCTGTCCAGGCAGACCAGCAACAGCTGCTAACAAGCCATCTGGTGCAACTATGCTTTACTGAACGTCGTCGCAGAGTTTAGAGCAGCCCCAGATCTTTGGTTGGTTGGCAGGAGCTTTTCAGTAAAAGGATCCTCCTTCCCAGCAGAGAAGTATTCCTCTGGATCGAGTTAGTGTTGGAAGAAAGCCACAGAGCTGGGAGTGCCCACTTCCCTTACCTGAGAGCTGAATTGGGAACTGGATCTCCTCTGGGACCTGCAAAGAGGTCTTGGAAACAGACTGCAGGGGACAGAATTGGTCCCTCCGTTCATGCCCCAGCCAGCCAGCCAGCCAGCCAGCCAGCCAATCGATATTGGCAAAAGACAGTTGTGGAGAAACCTTGCAACAGCTATTTGTTATGTTGCTTGGAGCTCAAGCTGGATCTTATATTGTGAAAGGGTAGAACAGGAACTGCACAGCACTTAGAGAGGGAGAGGCTGAGCAGGGAGGGAGAAAAAGAGAGCGAGAAAGGGGAAAAGAGGATGTGTCACTTAAGGTAGCCCGGCTGTAATTTGTTTTGCTTTCAGTTGATTTTTTCCCCACTTTTAAAGAACTAGAAGACATGTGTGAAGATAGCAGATAAAGCATTGCTGTGGTAAACAAGAGTCATGCATTGGGTGGCCTTGTTTGCTAGGACAGATGATGAGAAAAAGAGACATGAAATGACTGGAACGTTGGAGGACTTGAAACTCCGGGGGTGGGGATTTATTGTGTGATAACAAGATGGATGTGCATATATATTTGTACCCAGTTCACTCACTGTTTTAAATGGAAGATGGATTTGTTGTAAAAATAAAATAAAAATTTATGCAAAAAAAAAAGATGGATGTGCAGAATAGTGCTTCATGAACAAGTTCCTCTTTACTCTCAGATATTTCCACGGAGAACTACTGGGCTGCACATTACTGTAAAAGTAAATTAAAAAGAAAAAAAAATTATCTGCCAGTACAATTGAATGATTTGTTCTTCTTATCGTCCATGGCAGTGTTCCTCAACCATGATAATGTTAGAATGTGTAGACTTCAGTTTCCACCAGAATCCCCAGCCTTGGCAATGTTAAGTTGTGTGGAGTTCAACTCCCAGAATTCCTCAGACAGCCATGCTGGTTGGGGAATTCTGGGAGTTGAAGTCCGCACATCTTAACATTGAGATGCTCAGAAACCTTGGTCCAAGGTATTCCCAATTACTTTTTCTGACATCCCAGCACAAAGGCATAATATATACCTTTGGAGTCAATGGGATGTCTCTGCATTTTAAAAGTCTGTCTACAACTGTTGTAATCTCATAGCTGCAGTTACATTCTCAGTGAACTGAGGCTAAGATAATATTTTATTACTTCAACTTCTCACTACTTGCATAAAGTTAGTGTCACTTGCTGACATGATCTTAGTTTTTTTAAAGCTTGAGGAACAGATCAACAAGAGATTGTCATCTTCAGACCACCAAGTAGTATCATCAGCATAACTGAGTTTATTGATGCTTTCCTCAACCATTTTAGTTGCCTATTTCTTCTAATCCAGCATTTCTCATGATATATTCTGCATGTTTGTTAAATAAGTAAGGTAACAGTAACTGACACTGCTCATCCCCATCTTTGAACTCATTTTGTTGTTCCTATTCCATTCTAATTATGGCTTCTTATTCTTTATATAGATTTTTCAATAACCCTGGCACACCCATGCTTTTGAGAGCTACTCACATTTGGTTGTGGTCTACACAGCCAAAAGTCCTTGTAAAATTGATAAAGCCCAAAATAATATCTTCTGGAACTCCTTTACTGCTTCTATTATATATTACTCGTGTTTCTCACCCCAGCAACTTTAATATGTGTGGAGTTGAATTCCAGATATATGAAAGTTGCTGCGGTTGAGAAACACTGCATGAGACATTAGCAATATGACCTTTGAAAGCTTCTGTCTGCTTGTGAATCCGTTTGTACTTTAGGCAATACTCATTCCATGTATTGCTAAAATGTAGATTACAAAATCTTCAGCTTTAAAAGTTGTATATTTTATTCTGCAATGATCAATTGTACAGTAATAAGAATGGTATTTCTTAGGGAATTAGGGAAAAACAGAACTATTGTGTTTTACCAACTGACGTCTCCCAAGCATTTTTGAGTTTAATTCAGTAAGCCTGTGAAATATAAGGATCTGCTGTGTTTTCGTTGCCAAATACTTATGCTTAAATCAAGATTAATTGACAATAAAGAGTGATTTTGCAATAAATAGTGGCTTTACAGATGCTTGAACAGTGTATAAATTAAATAAAGCAAACAAATGAATAGTAATAAGGCAAGGGTCTTCAAACTTGGCAAGTTTAAAACTTGTGGACTTCAATTCCCAGAATTCTTCAACTAACATGACTGGAGGAGAAATTCTGGGAGTTGAAGTCCACAAGTCTTAAACTTGCCAAGTTTGAAGATCCCTGCTCTCTCATACTTGTAACAACCTGACTATATATTCTCCAGGTGATCAACTGGCCTGTAATTTCTTTTGCAATTCTCTCCCATCACAGATCCCCCTTTTTAATTAGCAAGAGAGAGAGAGTAAAATTCTTCAGTCCAGAGAAGATTCTTGTGCAGATTTTCAACATAGTCAAGCCCTTCAGCAGTAAGAGCGGGAAATCACAACAGCAACAACAAACAGTTGGAGAAATGCAAATACCAGTATTGTTTTTTTTTAAATAATAATAATAATGGAGACAGTACCTGCTGAAAAGGGCTCGCTCATGTACTGGCAGCCTCCTTCACCTTGTTCCTTAACTCTGATTTTTCTAGTGGCCCATATTAATGGAACATTTGTCCAACACAGCAGTTGAAAATAAAATATAAAATCCTGGTCTAGCAAGGGAATAGAAAACAGGGATAGAAAATCGTATGTTCTCAGTCATATTTTTACGTTTTACAAGAAAGAGTTGTTTCCAAAGTTGAGGTTGGTAGGTGTTTATATTCAGTGGCTGCTTATATCTAAGTGGACTTCAACGCAGAATGTATGGGATACAATGAAGGCATATGCCAGAGGCTTGATAACAGACTATACAAGGAAAAGAAATATCACGAAAAGACTAGCCTCTAAGACATTAGAGGATGACTATAAAGAACTTGAAAGAGAGTTACAGAAAATGCCACAGAAAAAGGACATTAAGTTAAAAATGGATATAATTAAACATAAAATGGGATTAATGGAAAAAGAAGAATTAGCACAGAAAATCAAAGGCACGAAACAGAACTATTTTGAAGATGCAAATAAACCAGGTAGATGGTTAGCGTACAAATTGAGAAAGGAGAAAGAATCAAGGAAAACATTGCAATTAATAGATGATCAAGGCCAAGTTTGCTATGGAAGTAAAGAGAAGAAGGAAATTATATGAGACTATTACGGGAAACTATATATACAAGAGAATATTGATGATGAAAGAGTTAAACAGTACTTACAGAATGCTAACCTACCCCAGATACCTAAAGAGATTGAAACAATGTTAGAAAGCAATATAACAATGATGGAGTTAACTGAAGCACTCAAGAAGCAAAATAATGGAAAGGCACCAGGCCCAGATGGACTTCCAGTGGAATTTTATAAAACACTACAAGAATTGTTGAATCTTCCATTGCTAGAAGTTATGAATGAAGTTATGTCAAGAAGAAGATACCCAAATCATGGTCAGAAGCTTATATTACACTTATACCAAAAGAGGAGGCCGACCCATTACAAATCAAGAATTACAGACCTATTTCTCTACTAAATGCAGATTATAAAATTTTTGCTTCAATATTGGCAGAAAGACTTAAAAAATACCTAAATAATTTTATTCACTCTGACCAAAATGGATTTCTGCCAAAGAGACAAATTAAAGATAATATGAGAATAATTTTGGACACTTTGGAATACTATGAGGCACATCCTGAAAAACAAATGGCTTTGGTATTCTTAGATGCACAGAAGGCATTTGACAATGTGAATTGGCGATTCATGTTATTACAGCTGGAACAGATGGGTTCTGGTAAAAAATTCATCCAAGCAATAGAAGCTATATATCATAAGCAAACAGCAAAGGTCATGATAGAGGGAGTATTAACGGACTCTAGTGATATAAGTAAAGGAACAAGACAGGGGTATCCACTGTCACCTTTGTTGTTTGTGTTAACCTTGGAAGTGCTAAACAGAAATATCAGAGAAGAAAAGAACATTAAAAGGGATGAAAATCAAAAAGGAAGAATTTAAGTTGCAAGCATTTTTATTTTAGAAGACCCACTAGAAATAGCATCAAAATTGATAGAAAAGATAGAGACATATGGAAAGGTGGCTGGTTTGAAAATAAATAAAGATAAGACAAAGATCTTGACAAAGAATATGCTATCTAGACAAAAGGAAGAACTGGCAGACTAATTGAAAATTCAGGTCACGAATAAGGTTAAGTACTTGGGGATATCCTTGACAGCAAGATGCAGTACACTAAAAGAGAATAATTATATCAAACTTAAACAGCAGATAGCACTAGATTTGGTGAAATGGGAAAATTTACAACTGCCATTAATAGGGAGAATATCAACAATCAAGATGAATATATTACCCAGAATTTTATATTTGTTTCAAACAATTCCAATTAGGCTTGAAAAAGATTATTTTGAAGATTTAAATAAAATTGTGTTGAAATACATATGGCAAGGTAAGAAAGCGAGAATAAAATTAAAACTTTTGCAAGATGCTAGAATAAGAGGAGGATTTGGGTTTACCTAATTGGGAGTTGTACTACCAAGCTACAATTTTATTTTTTTTTTGTAAATTTTATTTGAGTTTTCACAAAGAGAAAAAAACTACAAATAAAACATCTTTTTTGAAAGTAGCGTAATCCCGGGTTACATTTCTTCATACAAATTCAGATTCATGCTCATTTTTATATTCTATTCCATATCTTATTACTATTTTACATTTTCTGCATAGCTTCTCCCCTCTTTTAATTTTCTCAATTTTATTTTAATTATCTCATCTCAATTCAGATCATTGTATTTATATTTTTTGTCTGTCCTGTTTCAATTATCTATTATCTTTTCTCATTAAACAAAATTTCTCCTGTAGTTACTGATTGGAGTATGACGCCTTTATATCTTTTAAGTTTAACCATTTAACTCTTATTTAGGCTTCAATATATACCCTAAAGTTATAACATTCAATATAATACATAACTTCCATTTGGATTCTGCTTGGTACATTCTTAAAATACACACTATAATCTTAAAAAAAGAAAAAATTATAAACGTATGTAATTAAAACAACACATTCCATTCCAATTCAATTCTATCCTAGATATTAATATTCATTAAAGTCTTAAGTTCTTTAACATTACTTTTAAATTAAATATCATACTTCTATGGGAACAATTATAAGCTTTCCATAGTTAATCCCCACCCCTTCACTTATATTTTATAAAA